TTACTTACTTACTTACTTAATCATCTTTGTCATCCTCCTCTGTACGTTTTCCAGAGCATTTACATCCATTCTGTAATACGATGACCAGAACTGAGCAGCATAGTTTAAATGAGGCCTAACCAAGGATATATAGAGTTGAAGAACAACCTGAGGACTTCTATTATTTATACTTCTAGATATGAAGCCAAGAATTCTGTTAGCTTTATTGCGAACACTAATGCACTGTTGTCTTGGTTTTAGGTTACTGCTAACCAGAACTCCTAAATCCTTTTCGCAATCGGTAGTATTAAGATCTACATTGTTTAGTTTATATATGGCATGGTTATTTAACTGTTCAACATTTAGAACTTTGCATTTGTCAATGTTAAACTGCATCTGCCACTTCTCCGACCATTGCGACAGTCTATTCAAATCATCCTGGAGTGCTCTAATGTCCTCATTAGAATGAATTGGACGGCCTATTTTGGTGTCATCAGCAAATTTGCTTATGTCGCTATTTATTCCCTCATCTATGTCGTTTATGTAAATTGTGAACAACAACGGGCCCAACACTCACCCCTGAGGAACACCGCTTGTGACGTGCCCCCATTCTGATTTCTCCCCACTTATGCAAACTCTCTGCTGTCTATTTGTCAGCCATGCCTCTACCCTGGAAAAAATTCCTCCTCCTATTCCGTGTGCCCTAAGCTTCCTCAATAGCCTCTGGTGTGGAACTCCATAAATTTTCCCACTATGGAGGTAAGGCTTATTGGTCTATAGTTCGAAGCCAAGGACCTGTCACCTGCCTTGTAAAGAGGTATTACATTTGCCATTTTCCACTTATCAGGCACTATGCCAGTTTGTAGTGATATGTTAAAAAGATTAGCCAAAGGTATGCTAAGTTCCTCTTTACATTCCTTTAACACCCTTGCAAACAGTTCATCAGGACCTCGGGAATTGTTAGGTTTTAGTTTCTCTATTTGTCTGAGGACCATGTCACTAGTTACCGCAATCGTACATAGTAATCTATTATTTCAGGAATAATGCTAGTATTTTCCTGGGTGAAAACTGAGAGGAAGTAGGTATTTAGAATTTCACACATATCCTTATCACTGTCAGTGATCTGACCAGAGTTACTCTTAAGTGGGCAAATCTTGTCCCTAATCTTACTTCTGTATACCTGAAAGAACCCTTTCGGTTAGTCTTTGAATCCCTTGCGGCCTTAGCCTCATAAACTCTTTTTTCTTTCCTTATTCCTTTCTTTATTTCTCTCTTTAATTGAATATATTGATTTCTTAACTGCCTATCCCCTCTTTTGATACGCCTATATATGCCTCTCTTTTGACCAATGAGATGTTTTAATCTATTGTACATCAATTTGGGATCATTTTTGTTAGATCTAATTTCTCTACTCGGAACAAAAGTTGTCTGGGCAGCTAGAACTATGCTCTGAAAAACGTATTGAGACCAAGATCACCTTCCTGACCCATAGTCAGGACATCCCAATTTAGCCCACCCAAGTAATTTTTCAATCACATGAAGTCGGCCAAGCGAAAATCTGGGACAGAGGTTTGATTGCAGTTATCTGGGTAATTCCATGATATATTAAAACTAAGTGATTTGTGATCACTTTCCCCAATCTCATCATTAACCTCAAGATTATTAATTAGTGAATCTTTGTTGGCAAGAACCAAGTCAAGCAGATTGTTTCCTCTAGTTGGTTCTGTCACAACCTGTTCTAAAAAGCAATCCTGAACCGTATCAAGAAAGTTACTAGACTCAAGATTTCCTGTCATATTGTTCCAATCAATTTGTCTAAAGTTAAAATCTCCCATTATCACAACATTTTCATATCTAGATGCCTTATGAATTTCGTCCCATAACAGCTTACTGCCCTCCCTATCAAGGTTTGGGGGCCTATAAATCACACCCAAAATTAATTTGTCACGTCCCTCGAGAAACTGAAGCCAAACATATTCTGTGTTCGATGTTTCTAATCTTATTTCATGTCTAAGACATCAATTTAAATTTTTTTCTGACATACATCGCCACACCACCACCCTTCCTGTTGACCCTGTCAGTGTGTAATAGTTTATAACCCTGTATGTTGCATTCAGAAGGCATTTCTCTATCTTTCAGGTTGAACCAGGTCTCTGTTATACCAATAATATCTATATTACCTACACTTGCAAGTAATCTTAGCTCATCTATCTTATTTCTTAGACTCCTACTATTTGTATATTGAACCTTAAGGAAGCTAGTCACTCGTTGCCCTCTACTATCTCTCTTCGTTTGTTGATCAATTGATTTGCCATTACTAGTAACTTTATTTTGAATATTGCCTTTTAAACATATCCCTGAGGTATCCCGGTAATAACTGCTGTTTTTAACCCTAATGTTGCAGCCTGATTGTTTCCCACAAATACCCATGTACAGGGTCCGGAACGACTCCTTACTAAGACGTTGGAATGCTGTTTTTAGCTTCTCTAGTCCCCCATATGCTGCAGCAGTTATTTGATTGATGTGGCCCTCAGGAAATGTGTTGGGTATTATACGCACCCCACGATCCTCCTTGAAGGAGGTTTGTTGTCTTTGGCCTCCCTAGACTGTACTCCGTCTATGGTCTTCTTTGCTCTTCCCCAATCTTCATGACTTTGCACTTGGTGGGGTTGAACTCCAAGGACCAGTTGCTGGACCAGGCCTGCACCTTGTCCAGATTCGTCTGTAGTCCTGCCTTATCCTCCTCCGATTGAAGTCTCCTCATTAACTTCACATCATCTGCAAAGAAGGACACTTTTGAGCCTATTCCGTCCATCATGTCATTCATATATACCAGAAACATCACCGGTCCTAGGACTGACCCCTGTGGTACCCTTCTCGTAACAGTCGCCCGCTGTGACACCTCATTACGTACCATAACTCTGTGATGCCTTCCCGTCAGGTATTCTCTGATCCACTGCAGTGCCTTCCCTGTTGTACCTTCCTGGTCCTCGATGTCTTCAAAGGTGATGGACTGATTACATCGTTTTCACATCTCTACTACTCCTACTTTTTGTACTCGACGGAAAAAGCCTACTCTGTAGCCGATACCTTTCGGAATAATGATGTATTGGTAAACAAAACCTTTTGTTTACCAATACATCTCAATTAATTCAATAACACTTCCAGGTGTGTAATACATTTTCATCACTGAAATATTAATTTCATCCAACATTATAATAATTTTTCCTAACATAATAAACTCCTTACAGTACATAAGGAAATTATAGAAAATATTAGTTGTCATGTGACATATTATTATTATTATTATTATTATTATTATTATTATTATTATTATTATAATCAAGGGGGGAGCGCTAAAGACATGTGACGTAACACCTTCTAAAAGTCACGTTAATGTTACACTCTTACACGCTTTCGTTTAAACATTATTATCTTTCAGTTATTACACAGATTACAGGAAAATTATCAAAATTTTCCACAAATATCAAGAAAGAAATTTATTATGTGTGTGGAGGGGAGCGTGGGGGGGATGGGGTGCTAGGGATGTGGGAGCCAAGGGGGATGGCAGCCTGAGAAAGGTTGGGAATCACTGATCTAGGCAAATGTTGCTGCAGATAAGGGAAATTTTGTGATTTTAACACACAGTAAGTCAAAATAACAAATGATTACATTTTAATTTCAGAATGGACATTGTGTTGTGGTTGTTTGTGGTTGGACTGGTGTTGGCAGCTTGGGCATACTCCCGCTGGCGCCACAGCTACTGGTCATCCCTTGGAATTCCTACACCACCTTCCCTTCCATTCCTCGGGCACATACACAAGCAGTTATCATTAACACAAAATCGATGGGATTATTTTGACGAGGTTGGTAATCTTCACTTGAAGATTTGACCAAAAATAAATGAATTTTGTGTATATTATTTAATTTTGTATTTTGTAAATTTTGTTAATATGTGAAATTTTAAGAATTGCTTTATGAAGAATGGAGAGTACGGCAGTGAATACAGCCACATTGTAATAAACCACGGTAATGGTGGGGACTGAAGTCGCGGCAAGTGAACAGTAAAACTCGAGGCCAAACCAATGGCTACAATAAGGCTCAGCCAACTAGCCTGGTGGTCAAATGGCTTACACACTTGCTGCTAGTTCAATCCCTACTCATACCGTAGTTTGTTTTTAATCGTGTCATTACTATTTCGTGAGTCATACTTCATATTTGCAGGTGTACTACAAGTATGGTGGCGCAACATTCTGTGGAATGTACGAAATATTTCGTCCTGTTTTGATGATTGGCGATCCTGACATTCTCAAAAATATTTTCGTTAAGGACTTTGATCATTTTGTTGACCGTCGGCAGTTCCTGGCTGAAGAAGGAAGCCTTACCAACGAAATGCTTGGTAACAAGTCAGGAGATGAGTGGAGGGCTCTTCGAGCAGTTATGACTCCAACCTTTACCTCCGGCAAGATGCGTGGGATGTTCCCTCTCATCAGTGACAAGGCTGATGATCTTGTTTCTTTTACTCTTAAAGAAGCTGCTAAGAAACCTTATGTTGATATGAAGGTAAATTTTGGACGATTCACTATGGATACAATTGCTTCCTGTACTTTTGGTATTGAATGCAATTCCTTTAAAGAGGAGGAACCAGAATTTGCCAAATGGGCAGAAACATTCTTTTCTTTTTCTTTTATTAGAACCTTAAAATTTACTATTATAAATATTTCCCCAAGGCTCTTCAACTTTCTCAGACTAAAATTAGAGACTTCAGGTACTAAATTTTTTGAACGCGTGGTGAAGCAGACAATAGCAGTCAGGAAAAGAGGCCAAAGACGTGGAGATTACTTGGACCTTCTTCTGGATGCACAAGCAAGCCATGACCAACACACCACTAAGTCAACATCCATCAAGTCCAACACTACAAGTGAGACTTCCACTACTAACAACCATTCTGACAATGACAGCTTATCCGTCGTTCCATCGAAGCAAGGTCAGTGCTGATATCTTTTTGAATTTTATTGTATAATCCAAAAACTTGTTGCAGTAATGTTTTATTCATGTAAAAAACTTAATTCTGTGGGAGATATAATGCAGCAGAGTACTGAGAGATGATTTTCTAATTACTTTGTTAATCAACAAGAATTTGGGTCTGAGTAAATGAATCTATAGATGAGGTTTTCTTATAAAATTGTTAAAACCCTTAATCAGGCACACCTAAGAAAATGCAAATTTTGAAATGTGTTTTTTAATGAGTGGATAGAGCATCTCATCATAATCTAAATGAGCCCATGTAAATGGATTTCTGAAAGTTAATTTTCGATCAATTACTAATATTCGAGGACTTATTATAGTAGGTCCTACCCGGTAAAGGGTGTAAAATTGTAAATGTTGCAAAGTTGCAATTGTTAATAAAATACCAAATAACTATTTTTTTTAATTTATTATACACAGAGACAATATCAAAAACACAAATGGAACTTGTTTCCAAACATTTTGTAAGTATTAAAAAATAAAAATAAACCAAATAGCAAAATACACACATTGCAAAGAGATCAAAGTTTCATGTTGCATATTCCTGAGCTTCTTGAGAAAGAACAATCATTCTAGATAATTAATTACTATTATGAAAGTCTATGAAGCAATTTCTATCCTCCTTGATTCACAGATTTACTTTGCATACAGCACAGGAAAATTAGGATGTGTCATGATTTTTCTTTTTGCTGCAATACCTGGATCGTAATACTTTTCTTTTTCTTGGCTAATTTTGGCTTTTTGGATGGCCTCACTTCCTCCTCATCATCACTTGACACCTCTGCATCCAGTGGCAAGCATTCATCACCACTGTTAAGTAATTCCAGGTCACCTGGCTCTGGATCTGAGTCACTTTCTTCCAAAATACAAACATATTTGGACTTCTCTTTGGAAATCTTACCATAAAACAATTTTCATTGATCTGGAAGAACAATAAAAACATTCTGTACACACCCAGACCACTACAGAATTCATACATTTATTAGGAATTTTTTTTAGAAATATTTATTTACTGAAATTTCAAGCCTTAATGAGAAGGACTGATTGTGCTCGCTCCTTTTTTGTTACACTTTTTTCAGTTGCATGATGTACTCAAATTATGCTTCACACAGACTTATACACACACACACACACACATATATATATATATATATATATATATATATATATATATATATATATATATATATATAATATATATATATATATATTATATATATATATATATATATATATATATATATATATATATATATATATATCAAAATATGGCTAAACTATTCATTTACACACTAGACACAAAAATCTGTACTTACCGACATTGTAGAGGGTAAAATCCAAGAGTATGTGAGTGTCACTCGTTGAAAAAAACTGCTCTAGGCGACGCCAAGCTAGAAATGTTTACATTTTGGTCTCTCAGCCAATGGGAAGCGAGCAGACACTATCACCTCTTAGCTGGAGCGACTCACAGAACCCTTGTGATTGGTCAGAAATAGAGAACAGGATGACTTTGTCAATGGTCCAAGTCGGACCGAAACGTCGTCGTAAGCTTCTCTCTTTTATGTGCGGGTTATTTGTGTATCGTTCCAGTCACGGTATTGTGCCTTTTTTTGTTATTTAGAGAACAGGAACCAAGATGCGCAGCGGGAGTAGGAGGACAAGCGCAATAACCATGCGTATAGGACCGAGTTAATTCAGGACTAATATGGTAAATGTATATAATGAATAATACTGAGAGTTGTGGAAATAAATTAAGGATCTCTCTGGGGATGGAGTGGTTGCATTAGCTAATTCAATTGAGAGGGTAATTGATGACTTGTCTAGGAATTTAAACTGATAGATTATAGAGGTATGGGCGTTTGTGGGAAACAATCAGGCTGCAGCATTAGGGTTAAAAACAGCAGTTATTACCGGGATACCTCAGGAATATGTTTAAAAGACAATATTCAAAATAAAGTTGCTAAATAGCAAATCAATTTATCAACAAAGAGGGATAGTAGAGGGAAACGAGTGACTAGCTCCTTTAAGGTTTACTAAACAAATAGTAGGAGTCTAAGAAATAAGATAGATGAGCTAAGATTCCTTGCAAGTGCAGGTAATATAGACATTATTGGTATAACAGAGATCTGGTTCAACCTGAAAGATAGAGAAATGCCTTCTGAATGCAACATACAGGGTTATAAACTATTCCACACTGATAGGGTCAACAGGAAGGGTGGTGGAGTGGCGATGTAAGTCAGAGAAAATTTAAATTGTTGTCTTAGACATGATATAAGATTAGAAACATCGAACACAGAATCTGTTTGGCTACAGCTTCTCGAGGGACATTACAAATTAATTTTGGGTGTGATTTATAGGCCCCCAAACCTTGATAGGAAGGGCAGTAAGCTGTTATGGGACGAAATTCATAAGGCATCTAGATATGAAAATGTTGTGATAATGGAGATTTTAACTTTAAACAAATTGATTGGAACAATATGACAGGAAATCTTGAGTCTAGTGACTTTCTTGATACGGTTCAGGATTGCTTTTTAGAACAGGTTGTGACAGAACCAACTAGAGGAAATAATCTGCTTGACTTGGTTCTTGCCAACAAAGATTCACTAATTAATAATCTTGAGGTTAATTATGAGCTTGGGGAAAGTGATCACAAATCACTTAGTTTTAATATATCATGGAATTACCCAGATAACTGCAATCAAATCTCTGTCCCAGATTTTCGCTTGGCCGACTTCATGGGACTGAAAAATTACCTGGGTGGGCTAAATTGGGATGTCCTGACTATGGCTCAGGTAGGTGATCTTGGTCTCAATACGTTTTTCAGAGCATAGTTCTAGCTGCCCAGACAACTTTTGTTCCGAGTAGGGAAATTAGATCTAACAAAAATTATCCCAAATGGATGAACAATAGATTAAAACATCACATTGGTCAAAAGAGAGGCATATATAGGTGTATCAAAAGAGGGGATGGGCAGTTAAGAAATCAATATATTCAATAAAAGAGAGAAATAAAGAAAGGAATAAGAAAAGCAAAAAGGGATTATGAGGCTAAGGTCGCAAGGGATTCAAAGATTAGCCCTAAAGGATTCTTTCAGGTATACAGAAGTAAGATTAGGGACACGATTGGCCCACTTAAGAGTAACTCTGGTCAGATCACAGACAGTGATAAGGATATGTGTGAAATTCTAAATACCTACTTCCTCTCAGTTTTCACCCAGGAAAATACTAGAGGAACTTAGCATACCTTTGGCTAATCTTTTTAACATATCACTACAAACTGGCATAGTGCCTGATGAGTGGAAAATGGCAAATGTAATACCTATTTACAAGGCAGGTGACAGGTCCTTGGCTTCGAACTATAGACCAATAAGCCTTACATCCATAGTGGGAAAATTTATGGAAACAATAATTGCCGAAGTAATTTGTAGTCATCTTGACAGGCACAGACTGATTAATGAATCTCAACACGGTTTTACAAAGGGGCGTTCCTGTCTTACGAATTTACTAACTTTTTTCACTAAGGTGTTTGAAGAGGTAGATCATGGTAATGAGTATGATATTGTGTATATGGACTTCAGTAAGGCTCTCGATAGAGTTCCACACCAGAGGCTATTGAGGAAACTTAAGGCACACGGAATAGGAGGAGGAATTTTTTTCTGGGCAGAGGCATGGCTGACAAAAAGACAGCAGAGAGTTTGCATAAATGGGGAGAAATCAGAATGGGGGCACGTCACAAGCGTTGTTCCTCAGGGGTCAGTGTTGGACCCGTTGTTGTTCACAATTTACATAAACGACAAAGATGAGAGAATAAATAGCGACATAAGCAAATTTGCTAATGACACCAAAATAGGCCGTCCAATTCATTCTAATGAGGACACTAGAGCACTCCAGGATGATTTGAATAGACTGATGCAATGGTCGGAGAAGTGGCAGATGCAGTTTAATATTGACAAATGCAAAGTTCTAAATGTTGGACAGGTAAATAACCATGCGACATATAAACTAAATAATGTAGATCTTAATACTTCTGATTGCAAAAAGGATTTAGGAGTTCTGGTTAGCAGTAATTTAAAACCAGGACAACAGTGCATTAGTGTTCGCAATAAAGCTAACAGAATTCTTTGCTTCATATCTAGAAGTATAAATAATAGAAGTCCTCAGGTTGTTCTTCAACTCTATATATCCTTGGTTAGGCCTCATTTAGACTATGCTGCTCAGTTCTGGTCACCGTATTATAGAATGGATATAAATACTCTGGAAAACGTACAGAGGAGGATGACAAAGATGATCCCATGTATCAGAAATCTTCCCTATGAGGATAGACTGAAGGCCCTGAATCTACACTCTCTCGAAAGGCGTAGAATTAGGGGGGATATGATCGAGGTGTATAAATGGAAAACAGGAATAAATAAAGGGGATGTAAACAGTGTGCTGAAAATTTCCAGCCAAGACAGGACTCGCAGCAGTGGTTTCAAGTTGAAAAAAATCAGATTCAGAAAGGATATAGGAAAGCACTGGTTTGATAATTGAGTTGTGGATGAGTGGAACAAACTCCCGAGTACAGTTATTCAGGCCTAAACGTTGTGTAGTTTTAAAAATATGTTAGATAAATACATGAGTGGGTGTGGGTGGGTGTGAGTTGGACCTGACTAGCTTGTGCTGCTGGGTCTGGTGCAGTGCTCCATCCTTGAGTGGAGATGATCAGACTGGGTGGGTCTTTGGGCTAATCCGGGGGGGGGATCATTGTTCTAATCCAGGGGGGACATGGACCTGCTCCGCATGGGTCAGTAGGCCTGTTGCAGTATTCCTTCTTTCTTAAGTTCTTATGTTCTTATGTACTCACGTATTGGTATTGGCTGGTATCAGCCATTCTTGCGGAATTGGAACTTGGTGTCGATATCAGTTAAAATTATTATTATTATAATAAAAAGAAGCGCTAAGCCACAAGGACTATACAGCGCACATATCAGTTAAAAACGGCAGGTACCAGATAA